ACTACCTTGAATCCAAGCAATGTTATCTCTAATTCTTTTAATATGACCTGACATTGATTTTAAACCGGATTTTACTATTAAATTAATTATATGACATGCACAACGTTGGTGAAATATATCATTATTACCGAATAAACTTAAATCATTTTCAAAAAGTTCTATTGCTTTAGTATTTGCAGTTGCATTATCTAATGTTATGACCATTATTCTATCTCTTAAACTATATTAATCAATAACAGATAAAATTGTGTTATATATTAAATTGGCAGTATGTGATCCTATAACACATTTGAAACCTAAGATTCTCTTATCCAAATCAAAACCTTTATAATAATTTCCGGTTACAGCTAAATAATCCTTGTTGGCAACGGTGGACCAAATATCTGCCGTTAACGCAACGCAGCCACTAGTAGAGTGTAGAAGGTTGATTAATACTTTATTTTCTTGTTTATATAATTTTAATGCATTTTTCCTAAGAGTGGTTGTAGAAAAAAATTGTGCATTAGGATTATGTACAATTTTAATATAACGCTGTCAATTTCATTATTCAATAAAACTTAGTGGTTGATCTAATGTGGCTATTAATCATGTCATTTCCATACAATCAACTTGCTGATCGTATTTTCACGTGCTTAGACCGCCGATTTGGCGGTCAAACGATAATTACGTTTGGCGGAGATCAGCTCCGCCTCCTTGCTTTTGAAGACACTTTTCAGAGTGTCTTCTTAAGTGTGTAGTGCCGTTAATAGTGTTACCTTGTAAATTCTCACCACAATATTTACATTGAGCTATGTATTTAATGTTACCGTTATTGTTGACCTCATTGAATGTGTTGAAGTGCTCCTAATCTGCTGAGGTGCGCTTGCATTTCTTCTTAGAACTTGCAACACTTGCACTAGCACTACCGCTTGCCTCTCCTCCATGCCCACCAGTGACACCACCATTACGTCCCCGACCTCTAGTACGTCCACCAGGGGTCGGATTTGCAGTTTCCTCAGCAACTCTTTCCGTAGTTTGCGATTCCTGCGTTTGAAAAAATTAGGAAATTGTCCTTTTTCGATGTTGAATTGGGCATCAATGGGAATATCACCACCATAACCAGAAGAAACCATTATGAAAAATAAGAGAGATTGAGAGCGCTTTGAAAGAGATAAAGAGAGATCGAGAGAGATTTAAGCGAGATTAAGAGAGATTAAGAGAAATTGGGAGAGAATGAGAATTTTTGAGTGAGGAAAATGGTTGGGGGAGGGGGGGTATTTATAGGAAAATTTTTTGCTTGAAAAAAAGAAAATTTCCCCAAAAATTTAGGTCCAACAGCTAGTAAAATTTTCGGGCACTCAGGTCGGGTTGGGCAACGGTAAAAAATATAGCTGTTGGGGTTCAAATTTTTGGGCAAAAATCGGGCGGCGGTCGGGTTCGGGCAAAAAGATCCATTGGGTTCAAAATTCGGGTGAATTTCGGGCTAAAGGTCAAAAAACTTCAGGCATTTTCGGGCAACGGGCAAAATTCGGGCTAATGGTCAAAAAAATTCGGGCAAATTAGGGTTACGCCGGAAAATTCAAAAAAAAATCCGGCGGATGGCGGGGGAGGACTTCTCACAGCAACGGGTAGCTAGGTGATAAGTGCATGAAAATGCACCCTAAATATTGCTTTTGACTTACATAATATTAAAATATTTAAGCTTTAATTAAACAATTCCATTATTTTATTCATAATATTTTTAATTGGAATTTGTCTAGTTTTTACTTAATTATTTACAGAG